GAGAGAGAGAGAGAAATAAATAGAGATCATCGGGGCCCTTCTAGACCACTGACTCAGGGTCTTTGTTTTACCAAGATGCCCATATAACTCTTATACACTCTGTAGAGTATGAGGTCCTGGTTTAAAAGCCATGTGGGGCTCTGTTCCTCACAGTGCTTGGCAGGGGTGGGGAGGCAAACATAATGTGCTACAGGATTAATTTTCCCAAGGTATCATACAGCTTGGTTAGCTATTTTCCTTCCCTATAAAATCTTACTCTAAACCTGCCAAACAGATTTATGGTTGGGCATCTCTAAGCCAAAAATCCAAAATCTGACATGCACCAAAGTGTGAAACTTTTTAAGCACCACCTTGACTCCATGAGTGGAAAATTCCACATAAACAGTCAGGAAAGGAGAAGGGATGAGAATCTGGAGAATCAGAGGTGAGGGAAGGAATCCTGGACCGGTGTGATCAGAGTCCTGGGAAAGCACTGTGGGCAGACTGAAACTGAAAAGCCTACACAGGCTTGGCCAGTAGGAAAAAGGAACGAAACGGGCTGATGGGTAAGTCCGGGAACAGCGAAGGCCACAAAGCTGGAGGACGTGTGTCCTGCACAAAGGGCTCCTCAACCCCAGCCAGGCATCTCTAGTCTAACATTAGATTTCCAGTCAAAGGATCTAGAAACACAGATTTCTAATTCCTAAGGGTTCTTTGTTTGTTTGTTTTTGAGATGGAGTCTCATTATGTTTGCTCAGGCTGGACTTAAACTCCTGCACTCAATGATCCTCCTGCCTCAGACTTCTGAGAAGTTGGGACTACAGTCACTTATCACAACAGTTCATGCCTAATTCAGAAAAATACACAAAAATTCAAAACAAACACCTATGAGTGAAACTGAGCCCTAAGAAGCATCTTACAATGTCACAGAAGGAGCTTTTGACCAATGTCTGATGACCCCAGCTATACAGCAAGTCACTGGAAAGTGCCGTGAGGCCAGTTCCCCTGCAGTCCTATTGTCCCAAGGCACCACGGAGGACAGCGTGGCAGTGCGCTTATATCCAAGAAGAAAGCATTTTACTGCTCCAAGCTATCACAGATGTCACACAATTTTAATGAGAAAGGAAAGATAATAAAAAAAAAAAACTACCAATGTATAATAGAATTAAATCGACAGTGGTTTGTCCGCTAGACCAACACAATCAAATCACCTGTTAATATTTTCTAAAATGCTAATTGGTGGATATTGGCAAATTTATCCAACCCTTGTAGTTGGAGCTAGGGAGTTCCAACCATCAAGCTTCAAAGCACACCCTTGGGCGAGGCTGCTGGCCAGCTGATCCAGAAGCAACCTCGCTGCGGCCCTACTCCCTCTGCCTAGTGCTAGACAGCAGGACAAGAGAGAGGGCTCTAGCTTCAGGGTTGAGCTAAGCATCAGGCAACGCCCAGCCTGCTGGCCTCCTGCACGTCCTATGCCGCTGGTCCATGAAGCAGAAGTTTTCGGATTGATGACACAATACTCCTGTGCTCATTTCTCTTGGATTTAAAAGAGCTAGGTCGCCCAGGGCTGAGTAATGAGAAACCCCCGGGGAAGGGTGCAGCCACGTTGAGGTAACAGGAGTCTCGCTGCCTTTATTGCAACAAAAGCAGCCGTTTGAAAAGCCCTCGTTCCGCAGTAAGCAAAAAAGGGGATATAAATGAAGGATCATTCTGTAGTGAAAAAAAAATAAAAAAATAAAAAATATATATATATGTATATACAAAACAGTTAGCATAGATGTACAGCTACTTTCTCTTAGTTCAATGAGAAGAAAGTTTTGAACTAATAGTGCTTAGACAAGATATCATGTCTGCCTCTTGTACTATGAATAACTACTACGAAGACAATATGTAACGTATTAATTATTGTAACTGTCCTAACCTGTTTTGAAACTGTCTCATTGCTACTTCTTTCTCAATAAAATTAATATTAAAAGAAAAAGAACAAGAGAAAAAAGAAAGCCCACGCTGCGACATGACCCCCCAGGCCCGCAGGAGCACCTACCCCACAGCGGACGCGGCGCGGCTGCACCACCATCAGGCTTCCCGAGGTCGCTGCCGCTGGCAGGCTCCGCTGCTTTGAGTGGAGAAGGGCTCCCCCGTCTTCAGGCTCCGTGTCAGTGACTGAGTCGCAGCCAGAATCTGTGGGGCAGAGGACACTGCTGAGTGGGAAGTAGCGGGCAGAAGGAGGAGGATCAGTGGGCAGGCCCTCACCCATGACAGCCCCAAAGATGACCACTTAGGAAACAGCTCTGAATGTCAAATAAATCCATCCCAAAAGGAGTGACTCAGGAAGTCACAAAAGAGGATGTAATGGGAAAAGTCACCAACCACCTTGGCCTCAGCATAGGGTGACAGCAAGGGGACAGTGGTGGACAGTAAGATAGGCACCAGCACTGAACTGCTGGAAGCTTTGCCTCAGGACTTCCTGCAAGACTGACCAGTTGTTAGGGAAGGAAAGGTCACAAAGCGTCTGCCTACTTCAAGGTCATCCTCAGAATGTAAAGTCTGCACTGTTCCAAATACCACAAAACCTCATGTCATATCTGGCCAGAGTGCCCCGTCTAGAAACAACAGTGAGAGGCAGTCACCTTCAACAAGCCTCAGACTAGTGTAACACGGTTCTAGATCAGTACCACAGTCAATACCTGCACCAGGAAGCTTAGGACACGCACAGACTGAGAGCAGGCAGGCGGGGCTGCAGGAAGGACACGCACAGATCGAGAGCAAGGGCACATAGATGTGCAGGTTGTGGCACAGATGAGATGAGGCTGGGAACCTATACAGCTCTCATCCAAGGGCTCTGAAGCAAGGTCCATCACAGGCCTCCTGTACGATTGTGTGCAAGATTGTGTGTGCGTGTGTGACTTAATATACATGGTGAAGAAACACACAAAAGGATGAGCCACACCATGTCTTCAAGGAAATGCAAATTCAAACAAGGACATGCTACTGCACTTCTATTAGAATGGTCTAAATCCAGAATACTGACACCACCAAATGCTGGTGAGGATGTGGAGCAACAGGAACTCACACTCATTACAGCTGGGAATGCAAAATAGAAATTCCAGAAGACAGTTCAGCAATTTCTTAAAAGACTAAGTCTGCTTTACCATCCAATCCAGCGGTCATGTCCCTTGGCATTAACCCAGAGCAACTGAAAGCTCAGATCCACACAACAACCTACCAACGGCTGCAGCAGCATTATCCATAACTGCCAGTACCTGGAAGCAACCACAATACCCTTTGTAGGTGAGTGGATAAGCTGCGGTGCAACTGGTAACGCAGTACTATCCAGCACTAACAAGAAACTAGCTAACAAGCTACAAAAAGACATGGAGGAAGTGTAAAGTATACCACTTTACACATTAGAAGA